TTCACAAAGGAGTTAGATTTTCTTGGTTATCATATAACGAGCCAAGGGATGAAACCAACGCAAGAAAAATGGCAAGCAATCGACGAGTGCCCTAAACCCACGACAGTCGAAGATTTACGTCGTTATTTGGGTATAATGAATTTTTATTGTTACTAAAGTGCATAATATCTTAAATTTTACAGTTAACTTTTATAATTTTTTTGTGTGTAATATATTTTTTTCTCTCAAGGGGGAATATCTATGGGACACAGTCACCTAGATACATCAAAATAATAATTGCATTTAATAATGTCTAGTAAGACAATTTCAATATTGTCTACTAGGCACTGCTGTATCTAAACTATGTCACCCCACCTTACATTTTCCTACTGTTATTTAGTATATAAGATCATTATTTCTATGTACACATTGTCAGTTTATCATCATCTGTAATATACATCGTCTCGACCAGCAACATCGTATTATTCACCCGCAACAGTGACAAAAGTGTAGTGTGCCCGACAAAAATCTTTTGAGAATAAATGTGTCAGAAAAATTATCAGTCCCTCGGGGGCCCCTGAGAATGCGGGCCCTGTAGAGCAAGAGCCCACGACTGCCAGACATACGTCATTTTAGTAAACGTGAAAGTTCTTGTATGTGTGTCCCCAACACAGGTAAGAATATATGTAATAATATATATAAATTTCAGCTTTATTAAAATGACGTAAGTTTATTTATAAAATAGTATAGTTTAGGGGGGTCCGGCGGGGGGTTGGAACCACACTAAGTGTCTGGCAATGAGCAGCGCAAGTTATAATAATGCTACGAACAATATATGAAAATATGGAGTTTCTTAAAATAACGAATTTGATATGAAATTTTTTACACCTTTGTTACCTGTTACCTGCCAAAGGAACCACGATCCAGGTTTCATGTGTGGGGATCGTTCTTACCTGTGTTGGGGACACACATACAACAACTTTCACGTTTACTAATATGACCTATGTCTGGCAGTCGTGGGCTCTTGGGCTACTGGGCACGGGCCCCGTGCCCTTATGGTAAAAATGGTATTGGCTCTGTCGATCGCAATAAGGGGGCCATAAATTACGTGAGATGTTTAAGGGAGGGAGGGGGTCGAGTCATATCTCATCTAATCTCAAGTTTGAGAGCGGGGGTCTCGGCAAATATCACGCAATTTTTTGTCTGATCGAAACAAAAAAAATTATATTATTTTGGTCCATTTAATCCAGATTGTACATGCTTATTACACTTATAACTCTCAGCAATATTGATTACTAGTCTGAACTTGCCGTAAATAAAAGTACGAAGCATTTTTTTTTCTTTTTACAATAACAATCCAACGCGTTTACGTAAGATACCCACATTTTGAAAAATCTCACGTGAGATTGGGGGATGGGGGAGGGGGGTGGATAAAATCTCACGACATCTCACCTGGGGAGAGGGAGAGACAGAAAATTAAAAAAAAACTTCACGTAATTTTCACGTAATAATGAAAGAAAACACTACAATAAGTAAACACAATACTATCTGTTTTTGAGTTCGGTTAATAAACACGGGTTGACCGCGCTTCGTGTCGACACATCGCTATACGAGCGACGGTCATTCTATACTGACCAATAATACCAATATTGCCAGATGTGACTATCCAATATTCCCCACAATTTATGTTCAAAATCTCCCCAATTGAGAAGAATAATAATTTATACATATAAATAAAATTGTAGTGTCTGTTTGAAATATTGAAATAACTGTCTTTACTACATGTATATGAATACGGTACATACACCAAAATAAGATTTTTTACAATTTTTGTCTGTCTGTCTGTTTGTACGGGTTAATCTCTGAAATGGCTGGACCGATTTTGACGGGACTTTTATTGGCAGGTAGCTGATATAATAAGGAGTAACTTGGGCTTCTTTTATTTAAAAAATATTAAGTTAAATTCCACGCGAACGATGTCGCGGTTACAGCTAGTTATTAATATAATTAAGAAAACACCAAGATTAATATAAACCATTATACACAAATTTTTGTAACATCTGAGAATCGTACCGTGACAATTGGAACCAACACGATGTATTAAACCGCTAAATCACCGAGACAGTCAGACGTTCCATACACTATCACAAAACTAAGTGTCAACATGTATTAAATGACTGAAGCCACAAAACTTTTAAATAATATTCTTTATTGCACTTAAAAATATTTATAAGTATATTAATTACAACTAATGTTAACAAAGGAGGACTTATCTCTAAAAGAGATCTCTTCCAGTCAACCCAATAGAGCGTAGCATAGGAAGTGTTAAATCGTGATCTAAAACTGTAACCATTTTATAAGTTCTCCGTTAAATTAGGGAAACAACATCTAAAGTGGGAACACTGTCTGTTGATTGAACTTAAGTAGGGATTATCGATACACATGCGGAAATGAACGTAACCACATTTTGACGGCCTCGGTGGTCCTGCAGTTTACACACCGACTTACTTCCGATGGTCGCAGGTTCGATTCATGAGTATGATTATTTGTCCGATACAAAATCTGGGTGTTTTCGATGTATATATAATGTATGTATTCACAAAAAAAATATATATCTATGTATTTGTATCAGTTGTCTAGTACCCATAATACAAGCTTTAGCTAGCTTAACTTGGGTCTAGATGGCGCTGTGTGAATTGTCCTGATTGTATATTCTCCGTTAAGTTAGAGAAATAACATGGTTTAGGCAGCCTCCCAATTAACAATGGCCCCGGAGGTGTGCGCGTGTACCCAAACACCTCCACAATGGAGTAGGGCGAAATAGGTCGCCCTAACCGTAACGAGATAGGGCCTGGCCTACAACATCTACAGGGTGGGCCGTCGCCGTCGGACCTGGGGTGGAAATGCACATGCGAATCCCCTGGCTCCGGCATAGGCGCTCGTAGGTACACCGTGTGGTTTTTGATGAGTACAAATCTCACACACCGTCCCGCCCTCCCTCCGGCGGGGTGACGGTCTTTTGAAGAATTTCTACACGTTAAAAAAAAAGGGAAATAACATGGAAAGCGGAAACACTGCCTGTTACTCGTATCCAGAGCCGTAAAGCATATTAATTAAAAAAAAATTAACTTAACTAGGGATTACCGATACACATGCGGAAAAAAACCGAATTCTATAAGTTCATATTAACGTCCTTAAACTGCATCCTTGGAACACTAGCTCAGCTTAGTTCGATCTGTAATACATGGATCGAATCCAGGACTTTCTACAAAGGAGTCTACTGCGCCATCGGGGTAATCTAATGACGAAAACAGTAATTTGATAATCCTGTTACAGTAACAAGATTACTTACTGTGTAATGCCGTAATTTATACCCGGGTTTTGTCCATATTTTTAGTTGTACGGACAGAATAGAATAGAATAGAAAATCATTTATTCAAATAAACTTACATTGAAGCACTTTTGAACAGTCATTACATTTTTTTTAACAGAAACGAAGTCCTTTTGAAGGCCTAATCACACAGCGCCATCTAGTCTCAAGCTAAGCAGAACTTGTGTTTTGGATACTAGACAACTGATATAAATACATAGATATTCTTTGTAAATACATACATAATATATGTTAGGGAAAATACTCTCTGCTACCAAAATGTTAGGGAAAGTACTATGTATATATATATAGGGAAAAATATGTGGAAGCGTCTGTCACGTACCTGTATGGTTCTGCGGATTTCTTGGGCTTCAAGCTTTCCAGTTTCACAGTAGGTTTTACAGTAGGTTTAACACAGTTTTAATTTATTTTAATTCACAACACAAATGCGCGCGCGTCATGGCCGCCGTACGGTCAGTTCAGTACTGGGTAAGGGAGGGGAAACAACGGCGCGGGAACAGAAACTAACGGACTCTAATATAATAATCTGTGCTTACGATGGTACAGGGTAGATTTTGAACACCCAGAGCGATACAAACAATCATACTCATGAATGCAAATGTTTGTGCCGTGCGAGGAATCGAACCTGCGACCATCGGAAGAAAGTCGGTGTGCTAAGTCACTAGACCATCGAGATCGTCATAATTACTTACTAATATTATAAATGCGAAAGTAACTCTATTTGTCTGTATGTCTTGCTTACACGCCAAGACAACTGAATCGATGTAAATGAAATTTGGTACACAGATAGTCTAGACACTGAGAAAGGAATTTTTAATGTCAAAAAGGGTTGTAAGGGGTTGAAAGGGGGGATTAAACATTGTATGGAACAATCGTCATTTTTGAAGCTAGACGCTTGAAACTTTATTTTTAAGACTTGTTTAATTATAAATAAAGAAAAAGGGTTTTAAGGGATGAAAGAAGGATGAAAGATTGTATGGAAGTCATTAACAAAGCTAGACGCTTGAAACATATTTTTTAGGCTACTGATGAATTGTCTTGTCAGACAAACACGTCTGTATGACTCGCTTACACGCTATGGGACACAGTCACCTAGATACATAAAATAATAATTGCATTTAATAATGTCTAGTAAGACAAATTCAATATTGTGTACTAGGCACTGCTGTATCTAAACTGTGTCACCCCACCTTACATTTTCCTATTTTTATTTAGTATATAAGATCATTATTTCTATGTACATATTGTCAGTTTATCATCATCTGTAATATACATCGTCTCGACCAGCAACATCTTATTATTACCCGCAACACACGCCAAGACAACTGAACCGATGTAGATGAAAATTGGTACACAGATAGTCTAGACCCTGAGAAAAGAAAAGCGGCGTGCCGGTGTCTACGAGTGTCCGGCCATGTCCGGCCGTGTTCAGCACGGCCAGATCCACTGTCATCATTCACCTACAGCCGTACGAAGCGCGCGAGCATCATGCCGTTGTCCGGCCATGTCCGGCACGGACCGCCCTTCCACCATCACTCACCTGCGGCCGTATGAAGCGCGCGGACGGCGTGCCGCTGTCCGCGAGTGTCCGGCTGTATCTACCACGGAGAGCTCCGCCATCATCACTAACCTGCAGCCGTACGGAGAGCGCGGGCAGCATGCCGGTGTCCGCGGCTGTCCGCGAGCGCGAGCGGCGACTGTCCGGCCGCGTCCGCCACGGACAGAGACGCGCGCGCGCTCACCAGCACGCGCACATTCTCCACGTGTCCGCGCTCTGCTGCTATGTGCAGCGCCGTCTGACAAATACACCTACAAGTTACGATCGATCCCCCGTCCAATTCAAACGGGGATCGATATTACGACGGCCTGAGCCGAGGTTCAAACCCCTAGCGGTGCCCTCACACTAAAGTCGTATCCGTCAGGCGGGAGTTGGCCTTCAGCCGCTCCATAAGTACTTTCTTTTGGTTTGGAGTGCCATCTGGACTCGCCCCCTATTGTCCGGTGAAGCTGTAAAGGCCAGCTGCGGCCAACAGCAATAGAGTAGTCCGAAAAAAAAAGATGTGCCCGCGGCTTCGGTCGCGTTAATTTATCCCCTTAGGGGTGGAATTTATCAAAATCCTTTCTTAGGGGATGCCTACGTCATAGTAGCTTTATGCATGCAAAGTCTCAGCCCGATCGGTTTAAAACTGATAAAGTTTCATACAAACTTTCATCCCCTATTTTATCCCCTTGGGGGTAGAATTAATCAAAATCCTTTCTTAGCGGATGCCTACGTCATAACATCTACCTGCATGTCAAATTTCAGCCTGATCCGTCCAGTAGTTTGGGCTGTGCGTTGATAGATCACTATGTCAGTCATCTTTGAGTTATATATATTTGGATTTAAAAAAATTGTAATTGCATGTAATTATTGCTAAATTTCTGTAAAAACGTGTATTTATGTGTACAGATGTATATAGGTAGGTAAGCATTAAAAAAAACTGAGCGATATCTAGCCAACAAACTGTTCTGCAGTTTGGCGAGTCAATGTATAAAATAACCGTAGTTTTTAAATAAATTAACAAAAAATGTACCTTCCCACCAGTGGCTGCATCGGAGACAGCATCCAGATCTGCGCCGGCAGCACACAGCGCTGCGAGACAGCGGCTGCGCTCCGCCAGCGCCGCTGCATGCAGCGCGGTCCGCGAGCTCGCATCACGAGCGTCGACGTCTGCACCCGACGCTATCAACTCTTGGAGTAGCTCCACGTTATCCCACAGGGCAGCCTGCACAGGAGGCAATTTTTTTTTACTATGACTACCTGTACCCGCGACTATGTCCAGTTGGAAATTAACTTTATCTTTCTAAAATAAAAGTAGCCTAAGTTACTCCTTATTACATCAGCTACCTGCCAATAAAAGTCCCGTCAAAATCGGTCCAGCCATTTCAGAGATTAGCGGGAACAAACAGACAAACAGACAGACAGACAAAAATTGCAAAAAAATGTTATTTTGGTGTATGCACCGTATTTATATTCATATGAATGTGGTAAAAAATGTTTATTTCAATATTACAAACAGACACTGCAATTTTATTTATATGTATAGATGTATAGATAACAATTTTAAATTACAATTTTTTTAATTCATCATTAATTATGTATTCACACAAAATACTTAAATTAATTACACATACTGATTTTAATTACAAATGAGTTAAGATAATTTATTCACATAGGAGTAATGCAGATACAGTTTCTTGTATACATCATATTGTTATTAGTATAGACTGAAATCAATCAACATTGTATATATCGAAAGGAACGGGGAATTTCTGGTCGCTTGTGTTTGGTCGGTGTATTTTTTAGTTGAGTAATATAACTAGGTAGGCCCCTAAGTAGATATAGCCCAGGGCCCTACAAATTCATGATCCGACCCTGAACATGTATGGATCTATAATTCTTATGAGAAGTTTATTTGAATAAATATATTTTTGTTTTAGTTCTACTACAAGTGCAATAAAGAATAAATAATGGTCGAGCGCAGTGATGGCTGGCTCATCCGTCATACTCGTGAACGAGTGCTGCTTGTAGGGACTAGTCTGCTCTTATCACTACGACTGATTTAATCTTATTGCATATTTATATTTGACCCAAAAAATTAGTGCTTGTTGGTAGTTTGTATTCACACATTTCGACTTGTAAATGTAAACTTACAAGGATTATTTAAAAGAGCAACACACAAATTTCTTGCTCGTTCTTCTTGTGATGAGACAGCTTTCCGAACGAGTGGTAGATAAAAAACAAATTGTTATGACTATTCAAAAGTGCTTAAATTAAGTTTATTTGAATAAATGATTTTCTATTCTATTCTATTCTAATAAATATCAAAGTTATTATTTAATTGAATTAGTACTAATCAGTAGTTTATATTCACACACTTAAATTTAAATTGTAAAGTAAGAATAAAATTATTTTTGGAGCAACACACAAGTTTCTTGCTCATTCTTCTTGTGATGAGATAGCTTTCCAAATAAGCGGATGATTTAAAAAAAAATTGGTGACTATTTAACAGTGCTTAAATTAAGTTTATTTGAATAAATTATTTTCTATTCTATCCTAATAGAAATAGAAATAGAAATAGAAATAATCTTTATTCAAATAAACTCATTACAAGCACTTTTGAATAGTCATATTTTGCTTCTACCACTCATTCGGAATGCAGATTCATCACAAGAAGAATGAGTAAGAAACTTGTGTGTTGCTCTTTTTAATAGATGTTTTTTTTTTTATAAATAATTACAGTATAAGAAGTAAGAGGCATGCGATAATCAACATAGAAGTCGCTACGCACTCATTATTAATGTAATCAGAAAATATTGTCAGTGCTATACATTTAAAGTTTTTCTATAAAAACAATATTATCGTTAACGAATTCTTCAATTTTATAGTAAGCCTTTTTGCAAAGGAATATAATAATAATATAATAATACTCATAAATAAACAAAAAAATGTTTTATACATATTTTTAAGAATACAGAATATATTAAAGTCATTATGGATAATAAAGCTACAATTTGGGACTACAGTTTCAAATAATAACAATACTCATAAAACATCAAAACAATCTATAAATCAGCTACATGTTACAATATTTGTAATTTACAATGTTAATTTAAAAAAAAAATTATACAATTATTTAAACATTATAATAGTAGTAAGTTTAGATATTGCGTGAGCGCCACAAATGCCCAGCGACGAGGCGAGGGCACATATATAGAGATGAAGGCCGAAAAATTCGATCCAACTTACGACATCGCTAGCAAAGAAATTGTAAGGTCACCACACCAACCTGATGCAGCAGACGACCTTGGAAATGGTCTTCGTCCGGAGACAGGTCCATAACGATGGAATTCAATCAGATAAACACAACATATTCGGCTTTAAAAAACCGCTGAAGCGTTACTAAACTACACACAACAATTAACACGGTTTCTATCCACATACTTCAATGAAAGGCATGTTAAAACGTTGAAAATATTGAAAGTTGGTGTTTTAATTATCGAACTAGTCAATAATAGTTGTTTTTGTGGAGAAATAAATTTTAATTGGAATAAAATTAGTGCATTTAATGTATCGATTTATTTTGAAAGTGACAACAAGTATGTATCAATGAAAGGAGAACAGATAATAAATAACATAGCGACTGACGGCAGAATGACAACGATCAGCTGGCTGTATAATGTGTCAATCAATAACAATTTTATTATTTTTTTCTTTTTCGTATATAAATATTTAAATTTATATTATTTATTTATTTAAAACTTTATTGACCTATAAGTTATGGTACAAAAGGCGGACTTAATGGTATAGGCATTCTCTAGGAAGTGCAGAAATACTTGATAATATTATTAAATATTTAAGACGAGAAACATACTGTTCATGACTGAACATAACATTTTCTGAATTTTGTTTAACCACAGATTAGATAATACTACAGTTTAACGCATAAACAACACTCAAATATTGTTCAGCACGATTTCTAAACGACTAAATTCTATCACTACCTACTATGTATGTTTTAAGAAATTTCGTACTACCTACTCTTTTAATTTAAGTAATAAATAGACTATGTTATATAATTCATGAAAGTACAACAGTAAATAAAAATAATGTTATGAATAAAATTATTTAAAATGACCGCTGAGGGTAGTTCAAATATATAAATTTAATTAAAAATTTAAATGAAATTTTTATTTAGCGTTTGATATTCTATACAAATAGGTATAATCACAGGTTACGTAAAAACCTAAAAATGATGCGAAGTGGCGCCGTGGAGTGGGAACGCAAAAAAGGGTTCGTAATTCGTACGCTCTTCGATGATCTTCCCAGTAAGTAAAACTTTAATATTATATTTATTCCAGGCTGTTTATTAAAGGCGATATTTAATCTAGTTACGATTCATTTATATCACTAGATGTAGACTGTAAAACTGTCGTCAGCGTGAGTACCTACCTCAGTCTCACCTATTTCAGTCGCCTAGTTCAGCTTGCTTTGTAAGATGTTTCGATTTCATACCGGTTTCATCATAGGGTACAGATTAGGCAATGAAATTACAGGATAAGCATGACCTTTTAGGCCTCTGGAATGACAACGTATGAGTGGTGACACAGCATCACATGGTAGCGTGATGTGCGTAATGCTGTCCATGTATATAAGCGACGGTAACCACTTACCATCCGACCCCACTGATCGATCACGCATCTCCGCTCCGATCGATCCCTCGTCTCCCCTCCGATCGATCTCCCGTCCCCCCTCCGATCGATCCCCCGTCCAATTCAAACGGGGACCGATGTTACGACGACCTAAGCCGAGGTTTGAACCCCTTTTTTTTTAACTTGGAGGAAATCCCTCATGGAGACCCGCCGGCCCCGAGGGAAGCCCGCAGGTACTGTGAGACTCCTACTCACTAAAAACTCCAAGATGTCTCTCACCCGACGCCATATCCCGGAGTCGCGGGATCGATAACAGTCAACCGCGACTCCGACGTCGGTGGCCCACTCTACAGCGGGCCCCATCTCTGCGGGTTCCCTTTGGAACCCACCACTTCCCCCGTCTTCCCTGGGGAAGGCGCGGGGCATGCGCGCGACTTCTTCGGGCCTAGTGTGGTGGGGTGGGACCGCCCCCGCGGTCGTCACCCCGGCCCGGTAAGAGGTTTGAACCCCTAGCGGTGCCGTTAGACTAATGTCGTATCTGTCAGGCGGGAGTTGGCCTTCAGCAGCTCCATAAGTGATCTTACCATACGCTCTGCTACCATTTGATGTGCTTGATCGATGGAAAAACGACTTGTTTAGTATAAATAGTTTATTTTGTTAATATAATATTATGAATGTACAATATAGTTTTTTTGACAATGTATATTTTTCATATAAAAGCGGCGATCAAGTGAGTAGTGATGTGCCAGTGTCACCAACAATAAGTAAAGGCCAGCCGCGGCCAACAGCATTAGAGTATCCGAAAAAAAAATACCATCCGTTGCTTAGTTTAAAAGATCTAAGAATACCGAGAGCGGAAGTAACTTTATTTTATACTACGTAAATATTGACACCGTATCAATGTAAGGTGTAGCGAATTGTGCTGTCTGGATAAAAAAATTAAGTAATAAGATAGAGTAGATGACTTGTGTTTACCTTTTGCAGCCCTATCACCGGTCCCTGAGGAAGACTACTCAGCGAGAGCGTCTGCAAGAGTTGATAGTCCCTTACCCCCTTTAATTATCGAGAAAGAACCGAATCGCCACGATGAACCAGAAGAATTCTATAAAGAATTGGAAGTTAAAATGCACAAATTATACAGGAAGCTGTTTTTAAATGATGATAGTATTTCTATGGACGATTTAGAAGATGTATCTCATTATTTCGTGCCAGATATAAACACATTTACTGATGAATTATTTGCAGTCGATCTAAACGAAGTTGACGAGGTACAGAATAAAAAGAAGTTTATTAAAAAAGACGCTACTGATTCTTACACAGAAACAATTAAAGACTTAGATAAGGTAGACAAGAAAGCTAATCGGGGAGCTATCAAAGAGGAAAGTATAAATTCAGAAAACGGAGCAACGTTGTCAGAACAATCTACATCCTTTCAACGAATCACTTGCGTAGCCGATGTGCATCAGGAAGCATCTGAAGATTCTAGCTTTAGTTTAGTTTATGAGGACGAGAAAGTGTATTGTTTCGAGAAGAGCCCTATCTTAGGACGCACTTATCTTCTTCAAAAGGGCATGAGTCAGATGAGTCAAAATCCTGATGCTACTGCAATAGAAGAAAGTGAATATCCATCTACTAGGGTTGAAGAAAATATAGGTGATTATTTTTTAAAAGCTTACTCTAAATTATTTGTACCACTGAATATAAATTAAAAACTTACTTAAATACTAATACAAACAATTATATTCATCGATACAAATGTTTGTGCCATGCGAGCAATCGAAACCGCGACCATCGGAAGTAAGGCGATGTGTAAACTGCTTCCTATCGATTCCTCGCACGGTACAAACGAGTGTTTTCTGTGTATATTATATATGTATTTACAAAAAAAATCAAAGTATTTAAACCAATTATCTAGTACCTATAACACAAGCTCTGCATACCGTGATACTAGACGCTGTGTTAATTATCCAGGGTTATTTATTTATTACTAGCTGTGCCCGCGGTTTCACCTGTTAAATTTCAATATAAAATATAGCCTATGTATTATTTTGTTGCATAAGCTATATTAGTGTAAAGATTCAGCAAAATCTGTTAAGTAGTGTTTGTGTGAAAGAGTAACAAACATCCATACTTACAAGCTTTCGCATTTATAATAATGTTTATAATAAAGTTTAAGATTTTATCGTTTGAAAGTGTTCCCATAAAGCTACCAGCATTAATTTTGAAATCGAGAATAATATTTTTATATAATAAGATTTTATCGTTATTTTTAATTTAGTACAAAATAAATATGTTACCTATTTCCCGGATAGGTTTAACTACCTGTTTAACAACGTAATAATTCCGGCTGCAGATATTTTCTCAAGTATTCTTATTTATTATGAATTTCAGATTTCAATCAAGAATATATTAATTTGGATACGTCAGACGATGAAGAAAACAATAGATCCACTGAAATTGTAAGATTCCAAACTGTCAGAAGACAATCGTTTGGATCTATTCAAGTATCAGGAGAGAGTTCACGCAATGAAAGTACAGAACACGCCGATTTTGAATCAAGAAAAATGTCGCAGATACGCAATTTAGATGCAGAAATTGAAGAAGATGATGCGGTGGAAGAAAGCGACCAATTATTTGACGCTGATATAAAACTATGCTCACTGTCTTCTAATGGGAACAATAACTTGGATCCAGACTTAGAAATGAATATCTCTCCACCGTCACCATTCAAAGACGGAGACTTTGAAATCATTCCTTCTCCACCACCACCATTCAAAGATGGAGAACAAACTTCATTTGTTACATCTGAAGATTCTAATGAAACTACAGATACACTTAAGATCAATACAGGTTTAATATGTAGCAGTTTTGGGGATTCAGATAATAATAATGTATTGCCAAATACATCTGTAGAACATAACGTTGTTTCTGATAAAATTGATAGCATAGGGATAACGTCCACTCCGTTACCAAGTCCTATAATACTACATGAGTCAGCAATGCAGTTTAATGAAACAGCAGAAAGGGAACTTGAGCAAGATGATACAGAAGAGACGACTCCCATACGAAGAACGGAATACAGAGAACCTGCACAAGTTGAGCAAGAACATATAAAAGCGACGTCTACTCCCACACGAAGATCTGTATTAGAAGAAAGAGCGATTGAACACAATAGAAGAAAACGAAAGCTTCAGCAAGTAAATTGGAAAGCAGTCAAAGGAAAGTTGTTTGTGGGAACTCCTAAGATATTTAAGTTGTGCCCATGCAAAGACCACACTTGTGGCGATTGAATTTACTCAATTTAATCATCATTTATTTTGATACTATTTCTCGTGTTATTGTTTTAGTTTTGATACTATCATGTAAGTTTACATTTTGTTTCGTTTCTTTTTGTGATTTTATACCAAAAAAAAAATGGGAATTGTATACTGTTATTAAATTTATAAGAGCCAGATCTAAACTCTTTGGCCAATCTGTTGTTGGAATATGGCTGTTATTTAGATATTTAGATATCTTTCCAGTATTATTAGGTACCTATTGTGAAATTAATTATATTTCTTACGTACCAAATTCGAATTATGGCTTTTGTAAAATTTTCTTAAGCGAAATCAAGAGAATATATATATTTTTTTTTATTTACATTTGTATCAATAAGTATTTTTTTATTTAACATGTAATATTATATAATCTGTGGTTTAACTATTTTATTAACCTTATTGTACATTACCGTAGAACCTAACAGTAAATATATGATTAGAACCGAATTGTGGAGATCGCATTCAATATTAACGTACAATAGAATGACAAATATATATTTTTATATTGAAACTAGCTACTTGCCTTGGCTTCGCACGGGTGTACATGTATTATATATATAAACCTTCCTCTTGAATCACTCTATCTATTAAAAACCGCTTCAAAATCTGGTGCGTAGTTTTAATG